AGCTTCTAATTTCTAGATTTACCAGCCCATTAAATAAGTCAGAAGGCACTTTATCCAAACAAAACACACGTGTTTATTAACACATACTGAGGCATTACATTTATACATGCTTTGAAGGATAACAATAACAGAAATTTGAGAACATTTAACAACTGTGTTTGCTCATTGTAGCTCAGTGCCCTCCAACTAAGGAGGAGGATCAACTGAAAAGACGTTTACCATGTAGCTTAATGCACAAACATGCCTTAACTTCTGGGTGAGTCATAATCATATCCCCAGGCAAAGTTATAGCATTTCTATATCTTGTCTCAATAATCCATTATTTTGATTCCATAGTTAGGTCTAACCCAATTATGACATCTCTTTTCTCCCACTTCACACCTGAAGCTTATTACCTATTCTACTTTGCCAAGGAATACCACACAATCATAGTTAAGTATTCAGTTAGCCTACATGTCAAGAGACGGACATTCATCAAGAAAAGTAACTCCCTACCAATGAACCATATGGCAAGTAACTAGATATTCAAATATATGAGCACTCAAAAACATTCATGATGAAAATATTATAATCTGCAAAAAAATACACAACCTAACTTCAAAAACCTTCCCATGCTCCCTCATCTAACTACTCATGAGATTGGACTAAACAACAACACATAAGCAGGCCTTATCCTTGACACAAATAATTACTAAATAAATGGCATAGCTCTTAACCAGGTTCAAACAATACATTTAAGACCTAACAGTACAAAAAACAAGGGAAAAGTATTTCATAAAAAAACTGATTAATAAAACACCCATTGAGCTCCATAAATGATGACATAAAGGTTTATGACTTCTGAAAACAGTGTAACAGAACTCTGTATCAAGCATACACAAACAACAAAATCGTAACTGCTAGCAAAGTATAATGCAGGACACTTTCTCTCCTGCACATGCTTCACAGATTCATTCAAATTCAAAAGATGCACCATTTTAGTGGAAAACGACTATACAAAGCAAGAACCTTGTAAACAACGTCTGAACCGCATAAACAAGGTTTCAGGCTAGATAACAATGATATATCAACTCACTTAGACAAATCAACATACACTTAAGCTGTACAAACCTCCAATCTTTAAATGCACACAAACAGACCCATTAACCGCATCATTTCATGTTTAAACACAAAGCCATTATACAATCTTCAAACACAGAATAGGTATATCATGCATCCAAGCAGAATAACCTTAGGCCAATCGACATTGCACATGATGCTTATGCATCTGCTTTCGTGTTTATATGTGCGTACACAAATAGACTCGTATGGATAAATGATGCGTAAACGAATATAAAAAAAACCTTCTTGGCAACCAGGAGTGCATTCACAGTGGATTTCAAGATCACCCGAAACGAAAACCCTAAGCGTTCCAACAGCATCACCATAGGTATGGCTGGTGCACCCACACGTCACCTCCACGTAATCATCGCACCGATTGAATCCAGTCATATCTCTTACCTCATCATCGCTGAAAAACATGGCACAACCGTTCTCCATATTCTTTCTCTTTCTCACTTCGCTCATTCTCTCTCCTCAAACGCCCTCTGTCAAAGCAAAGAGCAAAAAATAACACAAACCCACATCATAAAAATGCTACAAAAAAAACAAAAACAGTCGAATAAAACAAAATGATTTTCCGCCGTTTCAGTGCCTTTTCTCAATGTGTGTGTGTGTGTGTTTGTTTATGTGGAGAGGGGTAGAAATGGATAGCCCAGAAAAAGGCTTGGTATAATTGGCTTAGCAAGCACGCACCTGCCTGCATAGAGGAGATCCGATAAAGAGAGTTAAAAAGGAAGAAATAATGAAGTGGGTTTCTTATAGCGTCTGCGTGAGAGAGAGAAAAAGAGTATTCATTTTGGGCTTTTGTTCAAGGGGAACAGATTGAGCTGGCAAAAGCTTTGCAAACAAACATCATCAATTGAAAAGGCGTGTGTATGTAATTTCGAGGACTGAGTCCATCAGATGGAAAGTAAACGATGTTTTTCGAGACTGTACTTTGCAAAAAATTTTAGTATTAAAAGGTTGAATCCCAACCCTAAGATCTCTCACCACCTCTGTTCTGGAGTATCGTGAGAGAGGTAAATTTCAGGTTATGCCTTCAAGGGTACAGGGTGGAAGGCAGCTTGTACACTTGCACCTACCCAAGAGCCAAATTCATATCTCAGGATTCGAACCCTTGACGCAGCAGCTTCAGGTAAAGCTAAATTTTTCCACCCTCCCCTTTTATCACTTGGAGATGTGCCCTGGAGACTGAAAAAAAAATACATATATTAGTACTGCTTCATTTGGGAGGGGGTTTCTTTTAGACGATTTTTTTTTTTTCAATGTTCTAAAATCAAGCATATTTATTTTGCATATTTGCGTCATGTGCTTGATAATGCAATCAACTCATTTTTATATGTGCGTGCTTCAAAAGTTAAAAAGCGCACATATTTGTGTAAAAAATTGTGTCCAAATTAACCTAGCAAAGTCCATTCAATTTTTATAAGTATAAATTACACCCACTCATGTTTTTCTACTTCCAATTTCAAAAATCAAGTTTAAATCATTTATACAAACATCAGGTTATAATTTATTTTTAATATTGATAATAATATCATTAAAGTAATTAATCTATTATCTCCAATCCACCCTCCCCAACAAACCCTAATTCATTTCATATCCGACATCAATTCAAACCATCACTTATTGCTGCTTCATTTCACACATTTCCTCCGTTTTTCTCTTTATGTATTTGATGTGGTATTGATGGTTGTGCTGTGGTAGAGATGGAGAAGATGATGGATTTGAGAATTTGGTGGCGACGATTGTGAATACAAGTTGTGGTAATCACGTGGTGGTGGCGACGATAATGGTAGGTTTGGGGGTATTTTTAGTAGGGGTGGGAATGGTGGTTATAGTATGGTAGAAATGGTGAGGTGGTTGAGTGTAGTGCTAGCAACTGTTGCATTGGAGGTAGCGATGTTGGTGACGATGATCACTATTTGTGGTGCTGGCAACAATGGCAATTCTAGTTGTCACAAATGGTGGTGATGGTGTGATTGTGGTTAATAAATTGGTTTTGTAACCAATAAACAATGCCCCCATTTCGTCCCCATTAAAATATTAGCCTTTGTTTGAGCTCCATTTTAAGTGAAAGAATGTATTTTCAAATAGTGACTGATGGAAAATTTGTGGTTAAAAATGAGTTTTAAAAAAAAAAAATTGGAAGAATGTGGCTCAAACAAGGGCTTCTCTTTCTTTTATTTTTAATCGCACAATCTTCCATAAAATTATATTACGCGTAAATCTATAAATTTTTTTTTTTTTTTTGTAATAACTCATTCTCCAAAAAAAATATTATTCCACCCATTATAATTCAAAATAATGGGAGCCAAACAGGGGCAATATTTTACAGATAAAATAAATAATTTTTGACCAATATTACCTAAAAAAAATGTGAGACTGTGATTTGGCCCCTATTTGACAACCATTACTTTCAAACTCTTTTTTTATATACTTATTTTCAATCATACATCATACAATAAATTTCATACACCCAAATTTTTTTCTACTTTTTAATCACACATCCTTTTAAAAATTACGATTCAAAACCCTATTTTCCCAAATAACGATTGTCAAATAGGGGTTTAATTTCTAATTACGACTCACAATTTGTTAAATTGTAACTAATTAATTTGATCATTTGTGACATGAAATAAGTTGTGACCTAATTTGTGATTGAGAAACAATATGTGACTTACTAATTTGAGAATTTATGATCGATAAATAAATTGCGACCTATAAATTTTGTGACTTATGAAAAAAAAAAAGATCGTGATCAATTAATTTTACAATTGGTGACCTATAAATAAGTCAAAACTTATAAAAAAAAATTATTTGTGATTGAGAAATACTACTTGACCTACCCCCTATTTCTTTTCCATTATTTGTATATTAAAATGAAAAATACGATCGTTATACATCACATCAAGTCACTATATTTAACTTTCTATCTCTTATGTAGAACTCGTAACGACTATAATTTTCATTCTCGTTCTTATATTAATGTGGTACAAATGGGGCCTAATTTGAGAATTTGTGATCGATAAATAAACTGATATATAAAATTTGTGATTTATGATCGAGAAAAAATATGTAATAATTTAGTTTCATAATTGTGACCAACAAATAAGTTGTGGCCTATAAAATTTGTGAGTTGACATTCTATGATTGTGATAGTACATAACAGTAAATATAAATTGTAATTTTATGACCTTACTATGCCCTTGTTTCGATCAAATTCTTTTAAAAATTCATTTTCAGTCACACATTTTTCAATAAAATAATATTACACGTAAATTCAAAACTTTTCTTTAATTTTTAACCATACATTCTCCACCAATCTACTATTCAAAATGCATTCTTTATCCCAAAATGGGGTTCAAACAAGGGCTATATTTGATTAACAAAATATTTTTAATTATCTATTTAATCAATAATTTCTAATTATAACGTGATTTTTGAAAATTTAAAACATATTTCTTAATTTTGAAATTGTTTATCTTAAAAACCTTATATTTGCATTGTTCTCTTTTTATAACTTATAAAAAAAAAAAAAAAAAAGAGAGAGAGAGAGAGAGACTGGGCCCGACAAAGATCAAATTAGCACACATCACACAAGGCCAATTATTCATAGAGTTGCGAACAATGCATCTCGAGTCCAAGCCTACTTCTTCAATCTTCCTCTAGTTTCACTGTCGAGATTTTCATCGAGTTGAGAAAACTTGAAGGTGTATTTGCATTTTGTATTGCTCACCTAATCAAAATTTTAAAGGTCCCTTTCCTCCTCTGGTTTTTAATTTTAAGAAAAATATTTATCAACCTCATTCATCGATTTTTAAAGATGTTATTAAAATTGATTACCAAGTAATTATAGTATTTATGATTTTAAACAATATGCATTTTAAAAAAAAATAAATCTGAAGAATACGCTTAAAGTTGAAAGAATGCATTATTTTACTTATTTATTAGTTTAGAATATTAAAAATTAGAAAATGCACAATTATGCATAGGCAAGCATATACTTGTAATACTTGATGTTAAATCAAAATGCATTATACATTTTAGAACCTAGCATTTTTCTCGTGCTTTAGTCAATTGCATTGCTAGTGAGCGTAATCCAAGTTAAGTTGAACCAGTAGAAGAAAAATATATTTCAACTTGACAATCAATTTTTCTTTCATATTTTTTTTTTTTTTTTTTTTTTTTTTTTTTTTTTTTTTGGGGGTAGTGTTGGATCAGCTGTAGGGGTCGTAAGTCATGCATTGACCCAAACTTGGATTTTTTCCCTACGAGCCAAGTTGGTTTGGCCATTTCTCGACTAGTTTTTGGCTTATTTTACTAATTTCTTTAAAAAAATAAACTCAACTCGACCCGGCCCCGACCCAGAGTCTCCCCAATCGTCCCATACAAGATTGACACGCTATGGGGACAAGATCCGACATGTTTGGCTTCATGATGCGTTCACCATTTATATACCTCTGGCCATAGACATGCTCAATTAGTATATGATTGACTTTATTACAATCATGATAATGCAGCATAGGTAGCACTGGATTGTCTAGGGTGAAAATGGCACAATTCATTTTTGTCACAGCCCAACTTGCCTTTGATATGACTATTCTTTTGGCTGAGTTGGGATTTATTGTTATAGATTAATTAACTTTTTGACATCCAATTACATCAACTGTTGTTAGTAAATGAGAGAATACTTCACTTTAAAGATAATGTGATTTGTGGTGTACTGGATTGTGTATTTATCTTTTAATATGATGGAGAACATCAAATCTCAACTCTCCGTGTATCTTCCTCTTTGCTAGCAAGAAATTATTTCTAAATATTCACATTTAATGGAGAAGATCAAATCTTAACCTTTCTTGTGTCTACACTCTTGTGATGGGCCAACCACATACAAAATTAAAACAATAACTTTATTTGCAGTCGCTCACTACTGTAATTGTCCTATAAGACATACATGTGATAGGGTTAATGATTTGATGCATGAAACAATAAAAAATTATCACATTAATCTATCAAATCACCATCCACCACATGTATGTCACGTAAATCGACTATGGTAATAAGCGACTGCAAATTGTATTATATTTAATTTGCCCTCATTTCATATTTTATTAATAGTAATCTCTAAATTTTATTTCAATTTCCATTTTATTATTTAAATTTTATTACTTACTAATTTATATAATTAAATAAATAGGTCCCATTTGTTTCTCATTCTTTGGTAAAAAAAAATTGAAAAATATGATCGTTATCGAACATATTAGGCCACCATATTTGATTTTCTCTCTTTTGTGTGAATTCTATAACGACTATTTTTTTCATTCTCATTCTTATAAAAATGTGAATCAAACGAGGGCATAATTTAACAAACTTTAAAATCAATTTCTGCATTGTATATCAAAATTTTAGAATGTTTATTGCATGACACTAGTTCAAATGGAAGCGAAGATAAGCGTTTGGAAAATGCTACTCGTAATTTTTTAACAGATGGGATTATAAATGTTAGCTCAACGCCTCAACATTATGTAAATTAAGTGATAAACCAACTTGTACAAGTAGCATTTCCTTTAGCCCAATTGTTAACATTTTCAAGTTGTGAAATTAAACATATAACATCCCCTGTTTTTCAAATATATTAAGAAAAATTTTAAGTACTAAATTGTAGAAGCATGGAAATAATTTCTGTAATTGATGTTCAAAATTATCAGGGGTGGAGCTAGGAGGGACAAAAATAAAATTTCTTACCGAACTGATACATAAAAAAAAAAAAAAAAAAATTCCAATCAATTTTTTTTTTAATCTTAAAAAGGTTAATTGATGTATAAAAAATTGCGTTAACATTTTTATTTGTTAAGAGAAATATGTTTATGTATCAAAATTATATTGAAAGATAACAAATCTTCTTTAACAAGAACTTCACAATCAAATCTATCTAAAAATTAGAATATTGATATGAAAGTTTGAACATTCCAACTTGGAGCATATATAAATAGATGAAAATTTAATGCTATAGTTGGTCTACCTACTTTTATGAAAGCTACGCAAATGTTGGCAATCAAAGAGAGAAAACTTAAATTGGAGAGGGAACTAAAAAAGAGAACTTAAATAAGAAAAGAAAGAAATAAACAAATGAAAATAAGTGATGAATAAAAGGAGAAAGTTCTTATAATGAAGGGTCCGTTTGATTGTAAAAATGAAATTTGTGTGGAAAGAAAACAAATTTTAGGAAATTGAATTGCCTAAAAATTGTTTTTCTGAGAATTGCCAATTTATTGTATTTGATTGGTATTATTTTTACATGGAAAATATTGAAATAAAAATATTTTTTGATATTTGTTTGGCTTTACTTTATATGAAAATTGTCAATTAAAGGGATAAAATTTATTGGTATTGGGAATAGAATTTGTTTCCATTGCAAAAAAAAAATAAAAAAAAAATCTATCTTTTGGTGTTTGTTTGACTTTGTTTTACATGAAAATTGTCAATTAAAGAATTTTTTTTTTTACAATAATTCTTAGAATTTGTTTTTATTGTCAAAAAAATATTAAAAAAAAAAAGAAAAAAAAAAGAACCCGAACATTAGCCTAGAAAATGAAAAACCTGCTCAACCATGGGAATTGAAATTCCTTATGTTCGTGGAATTGAGGGTCACGTGGGTGAAAGTGAGAAAACCAATTGCCTAGAAATTATTACCTATCAAACATGCAAAAACTTGAAAAATGATGGGAAAATTTCCATTTTTCATGGAAAATATGGTACATCAAATAGGGCCTAAGAGCATTTTCATCATCACACTTCAAAAAGAATTTTAAAAGTACTAATTTTAAGATCGACACACATTTTTAATCGATAATCATCATCGTCTAATTTATCGAAAAAAATTTCTCTCAATAAAAAATTCCATGGATGGGATGTTTTTTAAAAGTGTGAACTCATGAATTAGTTTCCTGAATTTATTATTCAAAGTAGATGTTTGAAAAATCGTTTATGGGGTCAAATATAGGAGTTTTGACATTTGGCAATCGATAAAAATAAATAAAATAAAAATAAAGGGGTCTAATAGTAAATATCAAACCAATTTACATAACCATTTTTTTGTTGTCATAAATTTACATAATTTGGATACATAAGAAAGTGAAAATTTGTACCTTACCCAACAAATTATTAAGAAAGCTAAAAAAGGGGAAAAAATGTCTATTAATAATTCAAAAATTGGAGGATCCTTATAGTCTTCGGAGTGAATTGAATATCCTGTAAAATGGGTTGAAGAATTCTCTCCTATTCCCGTAGAATTAATTTTCACAATATGACGATTAGGAAGAATGGCCCTTGGCCTCGACCCCTATCTCGACATATACCGTACTCTTAGGTCGCATTGGTTTTGGAATTGAGGTCTTATTGTTTATTGGCTCAAGGTCGAAAAGTTGAACGCAAGGGACTAGTCAATTCATCAACCAAAGAGTCCATCTCCTGAGTTGCCCTAATTGCAAAAACCTAATCAACATTACCTGTTATGCTATTTAATCTATTTCGTTGTTTACCTAACATGTCACACGTCCTATGATTTTATTTATTTTTAAATCAAAAAATAAGTTCAAATTCAAACAATATTTTAAACACAAATTAATTAAATTTTCCCCATTTTAAGTAGTTACAAATATATTTGTAAATTAACACCTAACCAGGAGTTTGGACATTGGCAAATTCTTCTAGTTCTTGAATTAATCTTTATATTTTTTTATCTTTTATTTTTTATTTACATGGGATTGGGAGGCATCTGAGCCTGAATTCTAAATTTAAAAGTAGAACGTGGAAGCCATTAAACGGGGTTCATCTTACTTTGAGTGAAATTTGATTCTACTCACTCAAATTTTCCTGTTAGTTGCATTTTAGTTTAGTCATCAATAATGATCCTGTCACGACTCACGATCGTGACATTTAGTATCCTATTTTAGGCGACATATATATTTCTTTATATGGATTTTTATTAGTGTTAGCCTCGTTATTTGGTCTTATAATTTTTGCAATATTATTTTTTAGAGAACATGTGATTAAAATAATCATACTACAGTGTCACTTTGATTGACAGATGTGTTGATATAATGTTACATGACAGTATATTATTGGACTTTTTAAACACCGTTATTATTTCCATCTACCTAGAAATCTATCAACCTTTATGTCACAATTCATTTGGCATGGTGGTTTAATCCGATTGAAAAAGAAGAAATTTATTTTTGATTTATGTGTAATATTATTTTATGAAAGATTATGTGGTTGAAAATAAGAGAGAGAAAAATTATAATGTGAAATAACGGAGGCTTAATTTGCCGTGCTGCCTGAACAACGATGTACATTTACATTTTTTTTACCACCATAATCGTGTTATTGAAACAATGTCCTATGTCTAATTTCTTTTGAAATCCAAGTAACCTAAATTTAGGTCCAAGCTTCTATGTTCCTTCCCAAACTTAGCCCCGGTTTAAGCTCCAACAAGTTTTTGAAAAAAAAAATGTATTTTATAATAGTGACTTTTAAAGAATGTATGGTTTAAAAAGAAGGAAATTTTTTGAATTTATGTATTATATTATTTTTATTGAATAACGTGTTGATAAAAAAAAGAGAGAAAAATACATTTTAAAAGTAATGGAACCTAGACATATAAGCTCAGTAGGGAAATATCAACTGGGTTAGTAATTGTATCACTAAACTTGATTTTTATTACCAATTTCACCATCCATCATATGCTTTCCAAATTTATTAAAAATGGTATAATCATACTCACTTTAAAATATACTTCTATATAATCGTTGTATAACATATCCACTAACAATTGCGCCACATCATAAAGGATTATCATAATTTTTATGTTATCACTTAGCGACTACAATAAAGATCTATTATGATATGACTATCAATTATTTTCATTCGATATAGGGGATAATAAGTAACTGACAAAAAATGATATAAAAATTGGAATTTAGTTACGTTCAGCAATTCAATTGAGATAAATTAGAACTAGTAAGTCAATTGAGGTTCAATGACTGCAAATGAAATTTATCATATTACAAGTAAAAGTCATCAACACAATTTTCGATTGTGAATTCGACCCGACTTTTACAAATTAAAATACGTGATTATCGTTCAATTGAGAAAATCTGTCTCCCACGGGTCACGGCGGAAAGAATACTAACCTGGGAATCCTCTAATGTTTTTAAGGTTTAAACTGAAACAATGGTCAAATTTGAAGAAGGAAAAGGAAAATAAAAATGAAAGAGAACGTTCGCCCACGCCTATCAGCAAAGTTGTTCTCAATTCTGTCAAATTATCGTACTTTGTCATCTATAAATATCATTACTCCAAATATTAACATCAATAGTTAATTGCAAACCCACAAATTAAGCAATCCTGTGCGGTTCTTCTCTTTCTTACCCTCTCAGGTCTGAACCCAGCAGATTTTATACTCTTTCCTTTTTGAATCTTGCAACAGCAGTAGTTTTTCTCCACCTTCTTATGTTTAACAGCCTCTCTTCTCTGTTTTTTCTTTCTCCAACCTTCGCACTATAAATGTTTAGAAAGTGAGCTTTTTGGAGATGCAAATCTGATTTTCTTGAATTTGCTCTGAGTCTTGATAAAAACCCATTTTCTAGAGTCTTAATTTAAGTTTTTTTGCCTTCCTTCTATAAAACCTTTAACTCTCGGGTTTAAGTGTGTCACGGATCTGAAGAAAGTGGAAGCTGCACATCTATTCATTGCATGTGGAAAATTCGACTCATAGGTTCGAATTTTTTTGCTCTTCATACTTCGCTTTATTCACAAACTTTCATCTTGTACCTTATTTCTATTCTCTTCTTTTCTGATTTATCCGTTTTGTATATATTCATATGTAGCTCTTCAAAAAACAGAGGAAAAAGAACTCAAAATAAAATAAAGTTGGTATCTTTTTGGCGGCGGAAATTTGTGGGCACTTAATAGGATTCTGTTCTGTTCCAAAATCTTGTACTTTCATTGTTTTTTTTTCACTCAGTAAATCTGGGCATCATTTTTCAATAAGATCAAGGATATGATTTGAGGATTGGCGCTTTAGTTTGCTCATTTCAAAAAATTGAGGTATTCTGATAGTTGGCGAGGACTGCTGAGTGCTGAGTATGAGGAAAAATGGTAATTATCATTCAGGAAGGATATTCAATGACAGAAGGTGGAAAATTCCGTTCTTTGTGAGTTTACTTGTGTCAATTACTCTATTTACTGCTACCATTTTTGGGTTATACTCTGCGTCTTATGGAAGAGATCAATTGCAAGTAGACATTGTTAAGTTTGAAAATTCTGAGGACTCGGATGGATACTTTGTGGAATCGGATCTAATGAAGTCTTTTAAATCAAGTAAGGTCTCAGAAATAGAGCCACCGAGATTTGCTTATCTCATTTCGGGTACAAAGGGCGATAGCCAGAGGATGATGAGGACATTGCAAGCGGTGTATCATCCGAGAAATCAGTATATTCTGCACATGGATCTTGAGGCTCCCCCACGGGAGAGGTTAAATTTGACTATGTCAGTGAAGAATGATCCAACATTTAGTGAAGTGGAGAATGTGCGTGTTATGTCGCAATCCAATTTGGTGACCTACAAAGGTCCTACTATGATTGCTTGTACCCTTCAAGCCATAGCGATTTTGTTGAAGGAGAGCTTGAATTGGGACTGGTTTATAAACCTAAGTGCTTCCGATTATCCTCTTATGACTCAAGACGGTCAGTTGACTACCCATTACTCTACTTAATTATTTGAAGTGGTGTTTATTATTATGTTTTATTGTTGATATCTTTTATGTTTACTTACTGTGAAAGATGTTCCCCTCATCTGTCCTATTCTGTCATTGAAAATGAAAATGATGAAATTATTCACATGGCATGTTGCTGCACAAGTGAAACAAGATACCGGAGTGGGTTTTAAACCATTTATCAGATTAGCATTATTCTGATGTCATGATTGTTATTGGCAAATAATTAATTTTATAATACACAGAGGCATGGATGAGATAGTAGTAAAGAATATAGACTTTTGATTTGCAAATTCTGCCCTTTTCGGGATTGGTGTCGTAGTAATGATATTTACTTTGAAAAGTTTCTTATTTTAAATGAATGCTTGGATTTTAGCTGTTGGGTGAAGTAATTATGTATAAGTTGAGTCATAGTATTATGATTGTGACGAAAGAATAATGTTGGGAACTTGAGCGAGGATGTGCTTGGGAAGAGTGAGATTCTTTCAATGCTCGGTTCCACCTTTTTGTAACTTGTTAAATTTTAAAAGCATTTATTGTTTCTTGAATTGTCACCTCTTGAACATTGGAAAACTAGAAATGTTCAAGGATGGAGATTATTGTTATCAATTCTAATCTCTCTGTCCTGTTACTTGGGGGAATGTTGACTGAAGTCTACGGATGTTTAGGTTTTATAAATGAGTGTTCTTGTATGAAAACTAATTTTCCTAGAAATAGCTCTGTATAAACTTGTTCCAACTTTCTCCAGTCATTTCTTGAGTTTTTTAGGCCCTGTTTGGCTTGTATAAAAATTAGATTTTAATAAAAATCAGTAAAATGTGTGGTTGAAAAGTTAAGGATTTTGTGAAATCTGTGGTTGAAAATGAGTTTAAGAAAAAAATGAGTTAAGAAATGGGTGGCCAAACATGGCTTATTAATTTTTGGGTGCCAGGGGTTGGGGGATGGGGACTGATTAATTTTTGAGTATCTTTAGCATGTAAACTCTGAAGAGAGCTATTCTCTCTAAAACTTCACAATGCCACAATTAGGTGACCTTGGAAAATGAACTTTAGACATAACACGTCCTCTATGGTGTCACACATGATTTATTCTTTCTGGACTAGGTGCCTATCACATTAGTTGATAAATTCAAATCCAATATAGATAATATAATCCCACAATTATATAATCCAAAACAACAAAACTGATACTGATCCGCTGGTGATCTCAATCTTATATGAACGGACATAATTGTGAATATTTGATCATTGAAATAAAAAATTAAGAATGCAATGTTTTGATCATTGATATTCTTATGAAGAGCTTGTTATCTCTATTTTCATTGGTCAAACTTTTTCGAATGTGTTTCGTGCCATCGTAAATTAATGTAAGTATTTTATAGAAATTTATGATGCTTTGATCTATTCTTTGAATCCAATCCTAGGAAGTCCAGATTATTGCAGACCCACTTTCTGCATTGAGTCAGGAACTTTTCTGAAGGAAATCTTCGCTAAACTTTATTGACAGTATAGTGTTGAAATAAATTTTGATAGTTTTAACTGTTTATTGTAAAAAGAAAAGAATGATACTTTCTTGATGTCTATACTTCTTGCTATGACGATCTAACTAACTGTGCAGATATGTTATTCGTTTTCTCCAATCTGTCTCGAAATCTCAATTTCATTGAGCACACACAGATTTATGGGTGGAAACTGTAAGTACCTGTATACAATGAAAAACGAGCAATAGTGCTTTTTTTTCAACCTAAAGGTTATCACAGTTTTTTTATTATGCTGATAATTCCAGGGACCAGAGAGCAAAGCCTGTCATAGTTGATCCGGGCCTCTACTTGTCTAAAAAATCTGAAATTGCATGGACTTCTCAACGTCGGTCAATTCCAACATCTTTTAAGTTGTTTACTGGTGAGTTTCTTATCCCAGTTAAGCCGAGGTTTAGTCGTGGAGTAAAGAAAGGCATTTAGTGCATGTCGATAGTATATTAAAAAAAAAAAAAAAGGTTTCTTCTTTTTCTTCCATAATATTGTCCATTATAGATAAGTGACATAGTGGGCAGCTGGTAATGGGACTCAATAAACACATGATCTAAATGATACTGCACGCTGATTGCAAGCATTAATCTTATTCTTTTCTTTAATTGCAGGCTCTGCATGGGTGATTCTAACTCGCTCTTTTGTGGAATACTGCATATGGGGGTGGGATAACCTTCCCCGAACAATCCTCATGTATTATACAAATTTCATCTCTTCCCCTGAAGGATATTTTCACACTGTTATTTGCAATACTGAAGAGTTCCGTGGCACTGCTATAGGTCATGATCTCCACTACATTGCTTGGGACAATCCTCCTAAGCAGCACCCACGTTCATTAACAATCAAGGATCTCAGTAAAATGGTAAACAGCAGTGCCTCCTTTGCTCGGAAATTTCACAAGGACGATCCAGTTTTAGACAAGATCGATAAAGAGTTGCTTGGTCGAACAAATCGTTTTGCACCTGGGGCATGGTGTGTTGGGAGTTCGAAAAATGGGACCGATCCTTGCTTACTGCGAGGTAAAGATTCTGTGTTTAAGCCTGGTCCTGGTGCTGAGAGGTTGCAACAGCTAATTGCGAATCTGCTATCTGAAGATTTTCGTAGTAAGCAGTGCCATACACAGTGAGGGTAAAAAAATGAACCAACCTTTATATCAAGAGCATAGCTTAAGGTAATGGCTTTTTGAGAAGCTGTTTGCAATTTTTTGCAGCAAGTAGTTGTTCTCTCACTCACAGGGGAAAGTTTGGATAGTTCAACTGTAAATTACTTCTTTAATAGAATGCAGCATCAATGTAAAAATTTCAGATTTTTTTCCTTCAAGAAATCAATTCTGTATCCACCCTTCATGTAATATCCTGAACTTACGTAAATTATATATTTGAGGTATAAATGTAAGTTTTGAAAATTTAGGGTAACTTTGCCAGTTTACCATTTGTTAGGGACATTGTGCTAATATTTCTAAAAATTGGAAATACGAGTTTCACACGAAATTATAATTTAATATTAATTTTGAGTTTCTATTCAATCATTATCGAATTATTTGATATAAAAATGTTTAGAATTTTTTTTTTTTTTTTTTTTTTTTTTTTTTTTTTTTTGGGGGTAGTGTTGGATCAGCTGTAGGGGTCGTAAGTCATGCATTGAACCAAACTTGGATTTTTTCTCTACGAGCCAAGTTGGTTTGGCCATTTCTTGACTAGTTTTTGGCTTATTTTACTAATTTCTTTAAAAAAAATAAACTCAACTCGACCCGGCCCCGACCCATAGTCTCCCCAATCGTCCCATACAAGATTGACACGCTATGGGGACAAGATCCGACATGTTTGGCTTCATGATGCGTTCACCATATATATACCTCTGGCCATAGACATGCTCAATTAGTATATGATTGACTTTATTACAATCATGATAATGCAGCATAGGTAGCACTGGATTGTCTAGGGTGAAAATGGCACAATTCATTTTTGTCACAGCCCAACTTGCCTTTGATATGACTATTCTTTTGGCTGAGTTGGGATTTATTGTTATAGATTAATTAACTTTTTGACATCCAATTACATCAACTGTTGTTAGTAAATGAGAGAATACTTCACTTTAAAGATAATGTGATTTGTGGTGTACTGGATTGCGTATTTATCTTTTAATATGATGGAGAACATCAAATCTCAACTCTCCGTGTATCTTCCTCTTTGCTAGCAAGAAATTATTTCTAAATATTCACATTTAATGGAGAAGATCAAATCTTAACCTTTCTTGTGTCTACACTCTTGTGATGGGCCAACCACATACAAAATTAAAACAATAACTTTATTTGCAGTCGCTCACTACTGTAATTGTCCTATAAGACATACATGTGATAGGGTTAATGATTTGATGCATGAAACAATAAAAAATTATCACATTAATCTATCAAATCACCATCCACCACATGTATGTCACGTAAATCGACTATGGTAATAAGCGACTGCAAATTGTATTATATTTAATTTGCCCTCATTTCATATTTTATTAATAGTAATCTCTAAATTTTATTTTAATTTCCATTTTATTATTTAAATTTTATTACTTACTAATTTATATAATTAAATATATAGGTCCCGTTTGTTTCTCATTTTTTGGTTAAAAAAAAATGAAAAATATGACCGTTATCGAACATATTAGGCCACCATATTTGATTTTCTCTCTTTTGTGTGAATTCTATAACGACTATTTTTTTCATTCTCATTCTTATAAAAATGTGAATCAAACGAGGGCATAATTTAACAAACTTTAAAATCAATTTCTGCATTGTATATCAAAATTTTAGAATGTTTATTGCATGACACTAGTTCAAATGGAAGCGAAGATAAGCGTTTGGAAAATGCTACTCGTAATTTTTTAACAGATGGGATTATAAATGTTAGCTCAACGCCTCAACATTATGTAAATTAAGTGATAAACCAACTTGTACAAGTAGCATTTCCTTTAGCCCAATTGTTAACATTTTCAAGTTGTGAAATTAAACATATAACATCCCCTGTTTTTCAAATATATTAAGAAAAATTTTAAGTACTAAATTGTAGAAGCATGGAAATAATTTCTGTAATTGATGTTCAAAATTATCAGGGGTGGAGCTAGGAGGGACAAAAATAAAATTTCTTACCGAACTGATACATAAAAAAAAAAAAAAAAAAATTCCAATCAATTTTTTTTTTAATCTTAAAAAGGTTAATTGATGTATAAAAAATTGCGTTAACATTTTTATTTGTTAAGAAAAATATGTTTATGTATCAAAATTATATTGAAAGATAACAAATCTTCTTTAACAAGAACTTCACAATCAAATCTATCTAAAAATTAGAATATTGATATGAAAGTTTGAACATTCCAACTTGGAGCATATATAAATAGATGAAAATTTAATGCTATAGTTGGTCTACCTACTTTTATGAAAGCTACGCAAATGTTGGCAATCAAAGAGAGAAAACTTAAATTGGAGAGGGAACTAAAAAAGAGAACTTAAATAAGAAAAGAAAGAAATAAACAAATGAAAATAAGTGATGAATAAAAGGAGAAAGTTCTTATAATGAAGGGTCTGTTTGATTGTAAAAATGAAATTTGTGTGGAAAGAAAACAAATTTTAGGAAATTGAATTGCCTAAAAATTATTTTTCTGAGAATTGCCAATTTATTGTATTTGATTGGTATTATTTTTACATGGAAAATATTGAAATAAAAATATTTTTTGATATTTGTTTGGCTTTACTTTATATGAAAATTGTCAATTAAAGGGATAAAATTTATTGGTATTGGGAATAGAATTTGTTTCCATTGCAAAAAAAAAATAAAAAAAAAATCTATCTTTTGGTGTTTGTTTGACTTTGTTTTACATGAAAATTGTCAATTAAAGAATTTTTTTTTTTACAATAATTCTTAGAATTTGTTTTTATTGTCAAAAAAATATTAAAAAAAAAAAGAAAAAAAAAAGAACCCGAACATTAGCCTAAAAAATGAAAAACCTGCTCAACCATGGGAATTGAAATTCCTTATGTTCGTGGAATTGAGGGTCACGTGGGTGAAAGTGAGAAAACCAATTGCCTAGAAATTATTACCTATCAAACATGCAAAAACTTGAAAAATGATGGGAAAATTTCCATTTTTCATGGAAAATATGGTACATCAAATAGGGCCTAAGAGCATTTTCATCATCACACTTCAAAAAGAATTTTAAAAGTACTAATTTTAAGATCGACACACATTTTTAATCGATAATCATCATCGTCTAATTTATCGAAAAAAATTTCTCTCAATAAAAAATTCCATGGATGGGATGTTTTTTAAAAGTGTGAACTCATGAATTAGTTTCCTGAATTTATTATTCAAAGTAGATGTTTGAAAAATCGTTTATGGGGTCAAATATAGGAGTTTTGACATTTGGCAATCGATAAAAATAAATAAAATAAAAATAAAGGGGTCTAATAGTAAATATCAAACCAATTTACATAACCATTTTTTTGTTGTCATAAATTTACATAATTTGGATACATAAGAAAGTGAAAATTTGTACCTTACCCAACAAATTATTAAGAAAGCTAAAAAAGGGGAAAAAATGTCTATTAATAATTCAAAAATTGGAGGATCCTTATAGTCTTCGGAGTGAATTGAATATCCTGTAAAATGGGTTGAAGAATTCTCTCCTATTCCCGTAGAATTAATTTTCACAATATGACGATTAGGAAGAATGGCCCTTGGCCTCGACCCCTATCTCGACATATACCGTACTCTTAGGTCGCATTGGTTTTGGAATTGAGGTCTTATTGTTTATTGGCTCAAGGTCGAAAAGTTGAACGCAAGGGACTAGTCAATTCATCAACCAAAGAGTCCATCTCCTGAGTTGCCCTAATTGCAAAAACCTAATCAACATTACCTGTTATGCTATTTAATCTATTTCGTTGTTTACCTAACATGTCACACGTCCTATGATTTTATTTATTTTTAAATCAAAAAATAAGTTCAAATTCAAACAATATTTTAAACACAAATTAATTAAATTTTCCCCATTTTAAGTAGTTACAAATATATTTGTAAATTAACACCTAACCAGGAGTTTGGACATTGGCAAATTCTTCTAGTTCTTGAATTAATCTTTATATTTTTTTATCTTTTATTTTTTATTTACATGGGATTGGGAGGCATCTGAGCCTGAATTCTAAATTTAAAAGTAGAACGTGGAAGCCATTAAACGGGGTTCATCTTACTTTGAGTGAAATTTGATTCTACTCACTCAAATTTTCCTGTTAGTTGCATTTTAGTTTAGTCATCAATAATGATCCTGTCACGACTCACGATCGTGACATTTAGTATCCTATTTTAGGCGACATATATATTTCTTTATATGGATTTTTATTAGTGTTAGCCTCGTTATTTGGTCTTATAATTTTTGCAATATTATTTTTTAGAGAACATGTGATTAAAATAATCATACTACAGTGTCACTTTGATTGACAGATGTGTTGATATAATGTTACATGACAGTATATTATTGGACTTTCTAAACACCGTTATTATTTCCATCTACCTAGAAATCTATCAACCTTTATGTCACAATTCATTTGGCATGGTGGTTTAATCCGATTGAAAAAGAAGAAATTTATTTTTGATTTATGTGTAATATTATTTTATGAAAGATTATGTGGTTGAAAATAAGAGAGAGAAAAATTATAATGTGAAATAACGGAGGCTTAATTTGCCGTGCTGCCTGAACAACGATGTACATTTACATTTTTTTTACCACCATAATCGTGTTATTGAAACAATGTCCTATGTCTAATTTCTTTTGAAATCCAAGTAACCTAAATTTAGGTCCAAGCTTCTATGTTCCTTCCCAAACTTAGCCCCGGTTTAAGCTCCAACAAGTTTTTGAAAAAAAAAATGTATTTTATAATAGTGACTTTTAAAGAATGTATGGTTTAAAAAGAAGGAAATTTTTTGAATTTATGTATTATATTATTTTTATTGAATAACGTGTTGATAAAAAAAAAGAGAGAGAAATACATTTTAAAAGTAATGGAACCTAGATATATAAGCTCAGTAGGGAAATATCAACTGGGTTAGTAATTGTATCACTAAACTTGATTTTTATTACCAATTTCACCATCCATCATATGCTTTCCAAATTTATTAAAAATGGTATAATCGTACTCACTTTAAAATATACTTCTATATAATCGTTGTATAACATATCCACTAACAATTGCGCCACATCATAAAGGATTATCATAATTTTTATGTTATCACTTAGCGACTACAATAAAGATCTATTATGATATGACTATCAATTATTTTCATTCGATATAGGGGATAATAAGTAACTGACAAAAAATGATATAAAAATTGGAATTTAGTTACGTTCAGCAATTCAATTGAGATAAATTAGAACTAGTAAGTCAATTGAGGTTCAATGACTGCAAATGAAATTTATCATATTACAAGTAAAAGTCATCAACACAATTTTCGATTGTGAATTCGACCCGACTTTTACAAATTAAAATACGTGATTATCGTTCAATTGAGAAAATCTGTCTCCCACGGGTCACGGCGGAAAGAATACTAACCTGGGAATCCTCTAATGTTTTTAAGGTTTAAACTGAAACAATGGTCAAATTTGAAGAAGGAAAAGGAAAATAAAAATGAAAGAGAACGTTCGCCCACGCCTATCAGCAAAGTTGTTCTCAATTCTGTCAAATTATCGTACTTTGTCATCTATAAATATCATTACTCCAAATATTAACATCAATAGTTAATTGCAAACCCACAAATTAAGCAATCCTGTGCGGTTCTTCTCTTTCTTACCCTCTCAGGTCTGAACCCAGCAGATTTTATACTCTTTCCTTTTTGAATCTTGCAACAGCAGTAGTTTTTCTCCACCTTCTTATGTTTAACAGCCTCTCTTCTCTGTTTTTTCTTTCTCCAACCTTCGCACTATAAATGTTTAGAAAGTGAGCTTTTTGGAGATGCAAATCTGATTTTCTTGAATTTGCTCTGAGTCTTGATAAAAACCCATTTTCTAGAGTCTTAATTTAAGTTTTTTTGCCTTCCTTCTATAAAACCTTTAACTCTCGGGTTTAAGTGTGTCACGGATCTGAAGAAAGTGGAAGCTGCACATCTATTCATTGCATGTGGAAAATTCGACTCATAGGTTCGAATTTTTTTGCTCTTCATACTTCGCTTTATTCACAAACTTTCATCTTGTACCTTATTTCTGTTCTCTTCTTTTCTGATTTATCCGTTTTGTATATATTCATATGTAGCTCTTCAAAAAACAGAGGAAAAAGAACTCAAAATAAAATAAAGTTGGTATCTTTTTGGCGGCGGAAATTTGTGGGCACTTAATAGGATTCTGTTCTGTTCCAAAATCTTGTACTTTCATTGTTTTTTTTTTCACTCAGTAAATCTGGGCATCATTTTTCAATAAGATCAAGGATATCATTTGAGGATTGGCGCTTTAGTTTGCTCATTTCAAAAAATTGAGGTATTCTGATAGTTGGCGAGGACTGCTGAGTGCTGAGTATGAGGAAAAATGGTAATTATCATTCAGGAAGGATATTCAATGACAGAAGGTGGAAAATTCCGTTCTTTGTGAGTTTACTTGTGTCAATTACTCTATTTACTGCTACCATTTTTGGGTTATACTCTGCGTCTTATGGAAGAGATCAATTGCAAGTAGACATTGTTAAGTTTGAAAATTCTGAGGACTCGGATGGATACTTTGTGGAATCGGATCTAATGAAGTCTTTTAAATCAAGTAAGGTCTCAGAAATAGAGCCACCGAGATTTGCTTATCTCATTTCGGGTACAAAGGGCGATAGCCAGAGGATGATGAGGACATTGCAAGCGGTGTATCATCCGAGAAATCAGTATATTCTGCACATGGATCTTGAGGCTCCCCCACGGGAGAGGTTAAATTTGACTATGTCAGTGAAGAATGATCCAACATTTAGTGAAGTGGAGAATGTGCGTGTTATGTCGCAATCCAATTTGGTGACCTACAAAGGTCCTACTATGATTGCTTGTACCCTTCAAGCCATAGCGATTTTGTTGAAGGAGAGCTTGAATTGGGACTGGTTTATAAACCTAAGTGCTTCCGATTATCCTCTTATGACTCAAGACGGTCAGTTGACTACCCATTACTCTACTTAATTATTTGAAGTGGTGTTTATTATTATGTTTTATTGTTGATATCTTTTATGTTTACTTACTGTGAAAGATGTTCCCCTCATCTGTCCTATTCTGTCATTGAAAATGAAAATGATGAAATTATTCACATGGCATGTTGCTGCACAAGTGAAACAAGATACCGGAGTGGGTTTTAAACCATTTATCAGATTAGCATTATTCTGATGTCATGATTGTTATTGGCAAATAATTAATTTTATAATACACAGAGGCATGGATGAGATAGTAGTAAAGAATATAGACTTTTGATTTGCAAATTCTGCCCTTTTCGGGATTGGTGTCGTAGTAATGATATTTACTTTGAAAAGTTTCTTAGTTTAAATGAATGCTTGGATTTTAGCTGTTGGGTGAAGTAATTATGTATAAGTTGAGTCATAGTATTATGATTGTGACGAAAGAATAATGTTGGGAACTTGAGCGAGGATGTGCTTGGGAAGAGTGAGATTCTTTCAATGCTCGGTTCCACCTTTTTGTAACTTGTTAAATTTTAAAAGCATTTATTGTTTCTTGAATTGTCACCTCTTGAACATTGGAAAACTAGAAATGTTCAAGGATGGAGATTATTGTTATCAATTCTAATCTCTCTGTCCTGTTACTTGGGGGAATGTTGACTGAAGTCTACGGATGTTTAGGTTTTATAAATGAGTGTTCTTGTATGAAAACTAATTTTCCTAGAAATAGCTCTGTATAAACTTGTTCCAACTTTCTCCAGTCATTTCTTGAGTTTTTTAGGCCCTGTTTGGCATGTATAAAAATTAGATTTTAATAAAAATCAGTAAAATGTGTGGTTGAAAAGTTAAGGATTTTGTGAAATCTGTGGTTGAAAATGAGTTTAAGAAAAAAATGAGTTAAGAAATGGGTGGCCAAACATGGCTTATTAATTTTTGGGTGCCAGGGGTTGGGGGATGGGGACTGATTAATTTTTGAGTATCTTTAGCATGTAAACTCTGAAGAGAGCTATTCTCTCTAAAACTTCACAATGCCACAATTAGGTGACCTTGGAAAATGAACTTTAGACATAACACGTCCTCTATGGTGTCACACATGATTTATTCTTTCTAGACTAGGTGCCTATCACATTAGTTGATAAATTCAAATCCAATATAGATAATATAATCCCACAATTATATAATCCAAAACAACAAAACTGATACTGATCCGCTGGTGATCTCAATCTTATATGAACGGACATAATTGTGAATATTTGATCATTGAAATAAAAAATTAAGAATGCAATGTTTTGATCATTGATATTCTTATGAAGAGCTTGTTATCTCTATTTTCATTGGTCAAACTTTTTCGAATGTGTTTCGTGCCCTCGTAAATTAATGTAAGTATTTTATAGAAATTTATGATGCTTTGATCTATTCTTTGAATCCAATCCTAGGAAGTCCAGATTATTGCAGACCCACTTTCTGCATTGAGTCAGGAACTTTTCTGAAGGAAATCTTCGCTAAACTTTATTGACAGTATAGTGTTGAAATAAATTTTGATAGTTTTAACTGTTTATTGTAAAAAGAAAAGAATGATACTTTCTTGATGTCTATACTTCTTGCTATGACGATCTAACTAACTGTGCAGATATGTTATTCGTTTTCTCCAATCTGTCTCGAAATCTCAATTTCATTGAGCACACACAGATTTATGGGTGGAAACTGTAAGTACCTGTATACAATGAAAAACGAGCAATAGTGCTTTTTTTTCAACCTAAAGGTTATCACAGTTTTTTTATTATGCTGATAATTCCAGGGACCAGAGAGCAAAGCCTGTCATAGTTGATCCGGGCCTCTACTTGTCTAAAAAATCTGAAATTGCATGGACTTCTCAACGTCGGTCAATTCCAACATCTTTTAAGTTGTTTACTGGTGAGTTTCTTATCCCAGTTAAGCCGAGGTTTAGTCGTGGAGTAAAGAAAGGCATTTAGTGCATGTCGATAGTATATTAAAAAAAAAAAAAAAGGTTTCTTCTTTTTCTTCCATAATATTGTCCATTATAGATAAGTGACATAGTGGGCAGCTGGTAATGGGACTCAATAAACACATGAACTAAATGATACTGCACGCTGATTGCAAGCATTAATCTTATTCTTTTCTTTAATTGCAGGCTCTGCATGGGTGATTCTAACTCGCTCTTTTGTGGAATACTGCATATGGGGGTGGGATAACCTTCCCCGAACAATCCTCATGTATTATACAAATTTCATCTCTTCCCCTGAAGGATATTTTCACACTGTTATTTGCAATACTGAAGAGTTCCGTGGCACTGCTATAGGTCATGATCTCCACTACATTGCTTGGGACAATCCTCCTAAGCAGCACCCACGTTCATTAACAATCAAGGATCTCAGTAAAATGGTAAACAGCAGTGCCTCCTTTGCTCGGAAATTTCACAAGGACGATCCAGTTTTAGACAAGATCGATAAAGAGTTGCTTGGTCGAACAAATCGTTTTGCACCTGGGGCGTGGTGTGTTGGGAGCTCGAAAAATGGGACCGATCCTTGCTTACTGCGAGGTAAAGATTCTGTGTTTAAGCCTGGTCCTGGTGCTGAGAGGTTGCAACAGCTAATTGCGAATCTGCTATCTGAAGATTTTCGTAGTAAGCAGTGCCATACACAATGAGGGCAAAAAAAATGAACCAACCTTATATCAAGAGCATAGGTTAAGGTAATGGCTTTTTGAGAAGCTGTTTGCAATTTTTTGCAGCAAGTAGTTGTTCTCTCACTCACAGGGGAAAGTTTGGATAGTTCAACTGTAAATTGTAAATTACTTCTTTAATAGAATGCAGCATCAATGTAAAAATTTCCGATTTCATTTTTTTATCCACCCTTCATGTAATATCCTGAACCTACGTACATTATGTATTTGAGGTATAAATATAAGTTTTGAAAATTTAGGGTAACTTTGCCAGTTTACCATTTGTTAGGGACATTGTGCTAATATTTCTAAAAATTGGAAATACGAGTTTCACACGAAATTATAATTTAATATTAATTTTGAGTTTCTATTCAATCATTATCGAATTATTTGATATAAAAATGTTTAGATATATTTAGAATTTTCACATATTTATATTAGAATCTTATCCTCATAAAATTAGATTTTTCTTTGATAAAGTTATTAGTTCAGAGTTCAATTTAAATTCTAATTAAGAGTCCTACTAAAATTTTAAGTAGGTCATTATCATTATCGCAATTATTTAATTATTATATGTTGCACTCAATTGATCTGTTCACAAATCATACACAGAGAGAGAGAGGGAAGAAAGGGGAAAAATGAAGAAGAAAAGGCAGAAGAGAGAAACCGTGAGAGGAGAAAAAGAAAAGAAAGAATAGCTTTTTCGACACGTTCGAGATTCATTTGCAGGAATTTTTAGTTCCAAGTAGTGTAAGTATACCACAAATTCAATGAACAATGTATGAAATTTTCTAAATATCAAGTGGTTTTGTGTTTCACTTAATGTTTTAAGTTAAGCATTTTATATGCTATTATGTGATTCAAATTAAAGAAGGATATTGTGGGTAACACCATTGGGTATTATGTAGATCTATACAGAAATCAGCCATAGGGTTAAACACTCTAAACGGAGATTAAAAATGGATATGACCCAAGTGAGAGTGAGATGATCAGATGCATATTTTACTTGCTTTTTATATTAAATTGTGAAAGTATTGGCATGAATCCATATAGTGTGTATTTACATGCTCATTCCATATTTAAAATATTTTTTTAGATGCTTGATTGATCGAAGTTAGAGGTTGAGATTGCTGATAGCATCCGTGTCATTAGTTCAAGAATTTTATTTTCTTTTAATATTTAGCATTTAGTTTAAAATTATTTTGTAATCTGAATTTTATTTTCAAAATCGATTATTTTATATTTCATTAGTGAATTAAATTTATTTGACATATTATTAGACAATAAAATAGCTTATTTCGCAAAGTTCTTAAAAAAAATGTTGTATTAAAATGTGTCAGTCAACTTTTATAATAGATAAAGGAATTAGTTGAGTAACATTCGAGACATAGGTTTCGAGTGTTCTACTTCAATTCATATCATATTGAGAACAAGCGTGTAATGTCCACAATCAAAGCTTTGGTGTAAAAAGACAGTTATATCCCTCAAGTAATTTTTTTCCCCTCTCTCGATTGCATTTTATGTATAATGAAATTTTATAATCAAATTGGTTTGGGATATAATAAATATTAATTCTATAAATAGTCAAATTGGTTTGGGATATTGGATAAAGACCAAAATATACTACAAAAGAGGCTCTAAGTCCTTAGACACCATGATTAGAATAAGAATAATGCTATTTATGTAAAATTGGTTGAAAAAATAATATTTACACCAATCATTTTAAAATTATTTTTTTAAATCATTTAAAATCAAAGATCAAGATTCTGCCAAAACTTATTTTGTCAACCATTTTTGTCAAACTTATTTCGTACAATTAGATTAATTGTTAGAATAATTCTATTTGGACAGAATTGTGTCCCAACGTGGGGGAATTGAGGGCGCCTAATTGATTAGCTGACGTAACTAATTTTGGTTGACTTGACTACCAGTCAATGGATGAAACGCGTAATGTAGGAATATGGTAGGACAAATTTCATTTTACTCACATTATCTCCCACAGATTTCCACGGCTGAATTTCAGACTCAACACTCACTATCCATTTGTGAGATAGCAAAACAGGTTAGCATTTTGATTCTCCAGCTCTAAATATATACGTATGATTTTCATTCAATTTTCACCTGAAACTATCTCAAATGACAAAGACTGAGGCCGTAGATTATTGAGTTCAATGTGCTGTCATAAATGGAGTTGTTTGTTCAATAGTTGTTGATTCTTTCACCACTTTCTTTTGTTTAGATTGTACCGTTTTGTTCAGGAAAATGAAAAGTAATCTTTAGATAATTGTTTTCCAGGGGAAAACCGAAGAATTATTAAGATCACTTTATATTGGCTTTATTAAAATAAGCATTAGAATTCCGTATTTTTTATGAATCTGTAACTTATGTATTCCTATTAAACCTCACAGACTCCCTTGCAGTTCTATAGATTTGATTATGTTAGTCCCAGTGTTTCAAACCCTTTGCAAGTATTTTCAGTAAAATACAAAATACAAAAGTGCATAAAATTATAAAAATCGATACAAAGAATTTTCGGTCAAAGGCCTCGAGGTTCAGCGACCAGCTAACGCCTACATTCCCGTTGAGCATCCATACGGATTAAGCTCGAATCCACTATCAGAGTACCCAAATTGGGCAAAACCGAGTTACAACACATGAGAGTATTCTGCCATTTTTCTTAATCACAAGAGGCCCTCAGATTCTATACATGAATCTCATTAAGAGATAAATCTCAACAATTCTTTTGAAAGATTTCACTCAGAAATCACAAGAAAAACCCACAGTAAAAATGAAGAGTTTGAAGAAGAAAACGGCAGTCCAGGGAGTGATTAGGGTTAAACAAAATATCTCAAACCCTAATTATATGAGGCGCGTCCCATAGACCAATCCAACGATCACAGTTATGCCACGTGTAGGAGATCCAACAGAGAACGCGTTTTGGAGTTAAGTTACATTTCCAGAAAAACACGACTTTGTTAAGTCTAGAACCTTCAGTAAATGAATGATTAAATCATTAGGCCGGGTCATACATTTTTACTTCAGAATATTAACTGGGCTCAAAGATTTCAACAGCCCAAATCTTTACAATCTCCACCTTGCTGGAATTTTGAAGCTGATTAAGTGGATTCGATCATAAATTGTTTTTCTTTTGCTCTTATTACCTGTTAACAAAATAAAAAAAATTAGTAACCTTCAAGATTAAGAAATTTCAAAAAATCAAAAAATTTACTGATAGGTATTACCTTTGTACCTAAATCTGCAGGGTTGACCTTAGTAGAAATTTTAACCAGTTTTATATCACCCTTTTCTACGATATCCCTTATGAAATGAAACTTAACATCTATATGTTTTGTTCTATCATGAAAGACAGGTTTTCTACTCAAGAAAATTGCACTCTGATTATCAGAACAGAGCTCCACCTTATTTCTTATAACATCTAATTCATTTAACAAATCCATTAACCATATTCCTTCTTTTACTGCTTCTGTGGAGCAATATATTTTGCTTCAGTAGAGGATAGGGCCACAAGTTTCTGTAGTTGAGCTTTCCAACTAATACAAGTATCATTTATCACATAGAAGAATGCAGTAGTTAACTTTCTATTGTCAGAATTTCCAGCAAAATCAGAGTCAACATAGCCTTTTAAGCTTAAACCATTTTTATTAGTTTTAAACATAAGTCCTAAATTTTGTGTGCCCTTTAAGTATTTAATTAAGTTTTTCATGGCTTCCCAATGAAGTTCACTTGGGTTGCTCATAAATCTACTTAAAACACTCACAGCATAGGCTATGTCAGGTCTAGAACATACCATGACGTACATGATAGATCCAACTGCATTAGCATATGGTACATGTAACATTCTTTTAAATTCAATTTCATTTTTAGGTGATTGATCAATAGATAATTTAATATTTGCAGACAGAGGTAAACTAACAGGTTTGGCATCATGCAATGAAAAACGTCTAATTACCTTTTCAATGTACCCTTTTTGAGTTAAAAATAATTTTTTATTTTGTCTATCCCTTTTTATTTCCATTCCTAAAATCTTCCTAGCAGGTCCTAAGTCTTTCATCTCGAATTCAGACTTTAATTTTCCTTTTATAGAGTTCAATGCATCAGAATCATTACAAGCTAAGAGCATATCATCCACATACAAAAGCAGATAAAAGAATTCAGATTTCTCATTTCTTTTGAAATAAAAATAGGGATCATACTCAGATTTTCTGAACTTAAGTCCTTGTATAAAAATGTCAAACCTTTTATACCATTGTCTTGGAGCCTGTTTTAGGCCATATAAGGACTTATTTAATAAGCACACTAAGTGTTCTTTATTTTTAACTTCAAAACTTTTTGGTTGTGTCATGTATATGGTTTCATCTAAAGAGCCATACAGAAAAGCGGTTTTTACATCTAATTGCTCAAGTTCTAAGTCAAACTGAGCAACAAGGGCTAGAAGTATCCTAATTGAAGTGTACTTCACTACAGGTGAAAATATTTTAGTGTAGTCTATGCCCTCTCTCTGTGTAAAACCTTTAGCAACCAGCCTAGCCTTATATCTTTTGTCATTTGAAGTATATTCTCCTTCTTTTATTTTGTAAACCCATTTACAATCAATTAGTTTGCAGTCTTTAGGCTTGACCACTAAGTTCCAAGTTTTATTTTTATACAGAGAACTCATCTCTTCTTGCATTGCTGCAACCCATTTAGCAGAGTCTTTAGAGGTGATAGCCTCTTCATAACATTCAAGTTCCTTATCTAAGGATTCTTTATCTACCTGACCAGACACATAGTCTGCAAACTAGTACCTAGAAGGAGGTCTAATAGTTCTTCTCTCTCTCTATCTCTGGCTAACTGATAGTCCTGCAAGTCATGTGCAGGTTCTAATTTTTGAGAATTATCTACATTTTCATCATTAGTGTCAGGCTGGACCTCAACTTGAGGTGTCTCCACCTCAATATGTATTTGCTCAAGGGAATTTTGGCTTTCAAAATTAATTTCAGTCATAACAAAATCATTCTCTGTAATTTTATCTTTATTATTGCCACCAAGACATGGGAAGATATCTTCATTAAAAATCATAGACCTACTTATGATTACTTTAAATCCTTTGGCTTCCTTTAGCCAGAGTCTATAGCCTTTTGCCCTTTCCCCATATCCTAAGAAAACACATTTCAGAGATCTTGGGTCAAGTTTTGAGTCAATTTGATGAGCATAGGCTGCACACCCAAAAGTTTTTAGATGAGAATAGTCCAGAACAGATCCTGACCATATTTGTTGTGGTATCTTGTTATTTAAGGAAGTGGAAGGACACAGATTTATCAGATAGCAAGCAGTTTTTACTGCTTTCCCCAAAATTTTTTTGGTAGACCTGAATTAATCAGCATGCACCTAGTTCTCTCAAGAATGGTTCTATTCATTCTCTCAGCTACACCGTTTTGTTGAGGAGTATAGGTGACAGTCTTGTGTCTAAGTATGTCATTAATGCTGCAGTACTGATTAAATTCAGTATTACAGAATTCCAACCAATTGTCAGTTCTTAAAACTTTGATTTTCCTACTTGTTTGATTTTCTACTAAGGTTTTCCACTCCTTAAAGACTAAGAAGGTGTCTCATTTTGATTTTAGTAGGAAGATCCAAAGTTTTCTGGAGTAGTCATCAACAGTAAGGAGGTAATATCTATATCCAGATGCAACAGACACAAGTGCAGGCCCCCATAAATCACTATGAATGTATTCAAGTATATTTTGGGACTTATGAGTACCATAATTAAAGGGCATTCTATTCCGTTTTCCCATAAAACAATGTTTACGGAAAGTTAACTTCTAAACATTGTCATTCCCAAAAACACTAGCCTTTGAAAGTGTCTTTAGACCTTTCTCACTTAGATGACCTAGTCTTTTGTGCCATAGATCAGAATTATCTAGTTGTGTGACCAAATTCACAGCAGTATTCTGAATGATATCATCAGGATTTAGGATATAGATACCATTTTTTTTGGGTGATTTGAATATAAGTGACTGATTTCTAATTAATTTTGTGAAACCATCCTTAATTTCAATTTGATACCCTTCATCATCTAAGACCCCAAGGGATATAAGATTCCTCCTAAGTGCTGGGACATATCTAGTATGATTTAGCCTTAGGTGTTGACCATTTTTCAATTTTAAAACAATGTTCCCAATTCCTTTCACTTGACAGGAATCATTATTTCCCAGTTTTACACATCCACCACTAAAGTTTGTGTAATTAGTAAACCATTTAATATTAGGACTCATATGAAAAGAGCACCTTGAATCTAGAACACAATCATATTTAGATTTCTCTAATGAGTGCACATAAGCTACCCCAATATCAGCATCTTCTTCCCTTTCATAGGAAGCAGCAATGGCTGAAGTGCCATTTTCTTGCTTAGGGCCATTTCCTAGGTCCTTAGCCTTTTTGAAGCAGTTTTTTATCAAATGACCAGTTTTATCGCAGTAATAGCATTTTCTATTGTTAGCCTTTCCCTTGTATAGCTTCTTGTCCTTTCCTTTATTATTCCCCCATTTCTTTTTAGAGAAATTTTTATCTCTATTGTAATTAGCTTGACTGAAGTTATTTAAGCCTTTTATGGGAATTTTTGGATTGGACATTGATTTTTCAACATTTAAGGCAACTTTATGTTCAGATTTAAGTTCTAGATCTCTAGTCTTGAGTGAGTCATGAATGATTTCAACAGTTAGGTCACTCCTACCATATTCTAAGGCATTCTTAATGTCCTTGTACTTATCACCCAAAGCATTTAGTAGACCAACTACTTTTTGGTCATCTGAAATCTTTTCCCCACAATTGGTTAAATCTTGTGTGATTTTATTAAATCTGTCCATATTTTCTTCTAGGTCTGCAGTAGGGTCAAATTTATGAATTAGAATTGTTTCCAGAGAAAGCACTTATTTGGGAGAGACTTAGAAACATATTGTTTTTCTAAGGCTGTCCATAACTCAACAGCAGTAGTGGTAGTTCCTATCTTTCTAATCACAGAGTCAGATATGTGAAGAAATATTGTACTCCATGCCAATTCATCTTGCTCAATTTTTCTAACTTCTGACAAAGTTTCTGGCCAAGATTCATCAATTGCTTTAACATATTTTAATTGCATTAAGATGGCTTTCATTTTCTGGCTCCAGAGAGTGAAATCCCCTTTGCCATCCCAATGTTGAATATCAGTTTTAGTGGACATATTGTGGAACATATTGTTCAAGTATATCACAATAGTATTCAAGATGACTCAGGCAAGATTTATTCCAAAAAGAAAATTTGTCACACTTTATGCAGAACACAACAAAGATATATAGCATAAAAGTAGTTCACACTCAGTAAACTTCATACTTGACAATTAATTCTTGCAATAACAAATAAAACAATTTCTTGCCAAATTATGTAAAATGTGAGTGCATACACAAAAGTTAATTGAATAATGTCAACTGCAGATTGTTGACTAGTATTGTGAAATCCTATACACCAAATTTAAGATATGCAAATGCAATAACATAAATCGCAGAACATAGAGAAATTATTCCTTAATGGATTTCTTCACCGTTCCTTAATTCCCTCAGATTCTAGGGTTCTCGCATGAAACCCTAGACAAAGGAAAATTAAGGGGGTTCGAAAAAATCCCTAGCTTAACTCCTAATCAAGATTCGGTAAATATTTAAATTTGGACAAGGTATAGATTTCACCAGATCTGCAGTTTATTTCGAAAGATACCAAACCATTTCCAGAGATCTACTCAAGATTCAAATCGAAGAATTTTTCTTGTACAACAGAAACAGATCTATTAGTTTTTGACAGTTCAAAGCACAATCAAGTCACAAAATGGAGGGTACGAACGACAATATTTTGAAAAACGAATTTTAGTAGTGGCTCTGATACCGTTGTTAGTCCCAGTGTTTCAAACCCTTTGCGTGTTCAAGTATTTTCAGTAAAATACAAAATACAAAAGTGCAGAAAATTATAAAACCGACACAAAGAATTTTCGGCCAAAGGCCCCGAGATTCGACAACTAGCTAACGCCTACATCCTCGTTGAGCATCCATACGGATTAAGCTCGAATCCACGATCAGAGTACCCAAATTGGGCAAAACTGAGTTACAACATATAAGAGTATTCTACCCTTTTTCTTAATCACAAAAGCCCTTCAGATTCTATACATGAATCTCACTAAGAGATAAATCTCAATAATTCTTTTGAAAGATTTCACTCAGAAATCACAAGAAAAACCCACAGTAAAAATGAAGAGTTCGAAGAAGAAAACGGCAGTCCAGAGAGTGATTAGGGTTAAACAAAAGATCTCAAACCCTAATTATATGAGGCGCGTCCCATAGACCAATACAACGGTCACAGTTATGCCACGTGTAGGAGATCCAACAGAAGACGCGTTTTGGAGTTAAGTTGCATTTCCAGAAAAACACGACTTTGTTAAGTCTAGAACTTTCAGTAAATGGATGTTTAAATCATTGGGTCGGGTCACACATTTTTACTTCAGAATATTAACTAGGCTCAAAGATTTCAGCAGCCCAAATCTTTATAGATTATCCTCGGGTCGGGTTCACTTCTTTTTTTTCCTTTTTTTTTGTTTTTGTTTTTTGACTTAATTTCCCAATAAATAAGCCACCACATTCCATTGACTCCTTCCACAAAGAAGACTATCTATGTTCTCAAAACGTTGTACAATTGGAACGAAGAGAATTTCAAGAAAAGTCAAAACATTCAATAACTCTCTAGGCCAGATAATCGGCTCCAAGAAGATGTTAAGTTTCAAAATGCAATAGTAACCTCATCATGATTTATGAGGATGGAAGAAGTATTTTTCTATCTGAAAAATGGTCACTGGCTAGTGTACCTTTGGTGTCAAGTGGCCAGATCCTACAATAAATATGTAATATTTGAAGATAAATCTATATTGGTTAGAAGGTTAGATAGATGGAGAAATTACAGAACACTCCCACCGCTACATCCGAATCAAGAAACACCCAAAAGCGCTTTGATACCACCGTTAAGGTTAAATCTGAGTTTGACTCTAGAGGAATGCAAAGAGATTTGTGTTAAAAAAAATAAGAGGAGAATTACAAATTACCGTGGTACGATTAAATTTTCTACGCCGACGTTGAGCTGTGTATGCACCAAGAACAATTGAAGCACGTTAAGTTCCTTACAACTGTATTTGATCAGAGACCTCACCGATCTCTCTAATCCCAGTCTCTAAAGAGTAACATTAGCGCCCTGCTTAATCAAACGGTGTAACTTCAGCTTTGGGCGAGCTATCTTCCAACACACTACTCAATCAGATAGCTTAAATGTTTCGAAAAGGGTACAATATGTGAATATAATTTCATTGTGATTGGAGCCAACATCAAATAAGCTTTTAAATTTTCTAATCTACCGAGAACCAGCCATTTGATCAACGACATGGAAATTGAGGTATTTTACAGTAAAATTATCATAAAGTTAAAATAACAAGGAAATTGAAGTATTTTATAGTAAATTTATCACAAGTGAAATAAATTTATGTCCATGACAAGTTACAAGGCATACTTTGTTCTAAGGATTTGTCATGGGTAAGAAGTCAATGGATTGTGCATTTTTATTTTTATATATGTTAAACAATAATATGATATGATTATCATCTATAAAGTCAACAATCTGTGTTGAATGATTATAACTCTAGTACCAGTTGAATTTACAGCAGCTCCATTCTTTTATGATCAGTTTTACATTTTGCCATGTTCCTAATGCCAATTCTATGTCAATCTCCATTGTGGATCCTTAGTTAGTATATGCGTTTAATCTAATTAAAATGGGATCTGATTACTTTTTCAGTACGTTCTCATAATTTGGCTTCTATTCTGTTGTTCTTGGCAGATAAGGCTATGGAAATTGCTGGTACTATTGCAAGCATAGTGCAACTTTTCTGTGGACATTGCTGTTCAAATGACTCAATCTCTGAACAATGCAGCCATTTGAGAAAACCTAAAAAAGTACTACAGATATTGGAAGACAAAATGGAGTTACTTACTGCTCGAGAAGAGGATGTGAAACAAAAGTTACACGTGGAAAAGGTGTGGAATGGGATGGATCCGACAGCTGAAGTGAAGTTGTGGCTTGAAAATGTGCAGAAGATGAAAAATATAATGACTAGTTTGAAAAAGGAAATTCAAGATAATAAAAGCTGTTTATGTGGATGTTTTCCAAACTATTACCGTAGATTGAAGTTGGGGAACTCTGTTACTAAAAAGATGCGTAAGGTTCAGAAGCTCCTTGATAATAGCAAATTTTCAGACAGTTCATTGGTTATTATGGTGCCAGGGAGAGGAAAAACTTTTCCGGGAACTACATTAGTAGGGGATACTGCCAAAGGAATTTTGCTGAGAACTTGGGAGTACCTGATGGATGAAGATATTGGAATTATTGGTATTTATGGGATGGGAGGAGTGGGGAAAACATCCATCATTAAAGAAATTAATAATGAACTGTTAAGCAAAAAGGCAATCTTCGATAATGTTATTTGGGTAACAGCATCAAAGGATTTAGATCTAGAGAAACTGCAGAAGCATATTGCGAAAGAGATAGGCTTATCTTTTCACGATGAAGATAGTGATATTACAAGGGCTAGTGAACTATTTGAAGCTTTGCAAAGAAGAGGTAGGTGTCTGCTAATAATTGATGATTTGTGGGAGGCATATTCTCTAGAGAACATCGGATTTCCTAACCCAACGAAGGAAAATGGTTGCAAATTGTTAATAACTACTAGGTCATCAAGTGTATGCCGACGCATGGAAACAGTACAAGAGATTGAAGTTCACAAGCTTTCCATGGAAGAAGCATGGGACTTGTTTCAACAAAAGGTTGGCGAAGAGGTTCTCTCGTCCCCAAGAATACGAGATCTTGCTAAGGACGTTGTGAATGAATGTTCTGGTCTACCGCTAGCACTCATTACAGTTGGACGGGCTTTGAGAAAAGAAAACAACATTAGACAATGGCAGGCGGCATTGAGTGAGTTGAGGAACTCAACTGCCAACATTGAAGGGATGGAGAATCAAGTTTTTGCACGTTTGAGATTTAGCTATGACAGACTAATGGATGATATTGTTAGCTCCTTCCTTTTTTGTAAAAGAGCTTAAGAAACCTGCAATATGTCTTCAAGAATAGAAAAGAACCAACCATGGACTTGAAGAACCAAAAGAAAATGCAAAACAGGGAAGAACAGAATGGAGAGAAAGAACAGCTTCTGGGACAAAAAAAATCAGTCTTCATTCATTTTTTTCCATCTAACATACGTGCTTCATACATAACTTTTTACATAGAAAATGTAAAATATATAAAAGGCTGAATATAGAGTACATTAGCTTTCTATTCAACATGGTCATTGCAGACTACTTTACATCCTGCTGTAGATTGGAAAAGATAGCCTAAGTTAGGAGTTTAAATAAAAGCTTCACTTCCTTCATTCTCCTCCTTGAAGCTTTTATTTAACACTCAACTTGATGTTTCAAATCATCAAAACAACATTTTGCTAGAAGCTTTGTAAGCAAATCAGCCATTTGAACTTGTGAAGGACAATATTGCAAATTCACTTCTCCTTCTTTCTCAGCTTGTCTGATGGCATGAAACTTCACCTTTATATGCTTTGTTCTCCCATGATTTACTGAATTTTCGGCCACAGCAATTGCATATTGATTGTCAACCATAATTGTAGTAGGATTGACTTGAACTTATGCAAATCACTTAAGATTTTCCTTAACCAAATGGCCTGATTTACTTCTGCTGATGCTGCTGTATATTCTGCCTTTGCTGTTGATTGTGCTACAATTTCTTGCTTCTTTGAATTCCAACAAAATGCCCCAGACCCAAGTGTGAATAAATAACCAGAAGTGCTCTTCATGTCATCCACAAAACCAGCCCAATCACTATCTAAATTTCCCAATAAATCCATGCCAACTCCTCCTTCAAACTTAATCCCATGATCGATAGTACCTCTGATGTATTTGAGGACTCTTTTAGCAGTACCAAGATGCATTTGAGAAGGTTTTATCATGAACCTGGAGAGTAAACTTGCAGCAAACATCGAGTCTGTCCTTGTTGCAGTCAAATATAATAAACTTCCCACAAGACTACTATATTCCTTCTCATTTGTTGGCTAATCTCCATTTTCTTTTGACAGCTTCGTATTCATTGCCTGTAGAGTGTCTACTAGTTTGCAATTCTGCATATTAAACTTCTTCAAAACATCAAAAGCGTACTTTTGTTGTGAAATAAAAATTCCATCAATTTTTTGCTCAATTTCAATACCAAGAAAAAACTTCATTTCTCCCAAATTTTTCATTTCAATTTTTTTCTCTAATTCATGGTAAATGAGTCACTTTGCTTCAAATTACTTCTAGTAATAAGCAAGTCATCGACATATAATGAGATGATCAAAATATGGGAGTAGTTATCCGTTCTAACATAGAGTGTATGTTCACTCTCACTACTTTTGAATTCATTTCCACATAGGTATCCATCAATTCTACTGTACCAAGCTCTTAGGGCCTATTTCAAACCATACAAGGCCTTTTTTAGCTTGCACACATAATCTAGATCTGATCTTGAATAGAAACTTTCAGGTTGTTCAACAAATACATGATTAGTGTTTAAAAGTACTTTAAAGATATATCATTTACAAGGCATTTTACATTCATTTTTGTATAAGTTTACCAATGTTAGCATCTAATTTTAATTCTCTTGCCATAAATTCAATTTGCATAAATACATGGTTAAAAGTGCAATTAATCGAAATATGTATTTACATACATGTCGGCATGAGTATTATAATTTTGAAAGAGTATTTATTTGATGTATTTCACATGTATTTCCAATGTGAAACAAGTGGAGCAAGTGGAGGAAAAAATGTTGAAAAGACAAAAATGATGAGTTGTCTCGAGCAAGATGCAGCTATCTCGGTAAAATGGTCATAACTTAAGTTGTAGCTATTGAACCAAGGTGATTCAAGTTTGATTGAAAAGATAAGATATGTATCTACAACTTTCATGTTTCACAAGAAGTCAAACTATCAACATAGGGCAGCCAAATTTACTGTGCAAAATCCAAGTTGTTAATTGCTGGATACAGCTTTTTTACCTGTGAGCATCACTCATTGTTTTGACCATATCTAGAGTTTTTGAGATTCAATGGACCTGATATTAATGAAAAGATAACTCAAGTGGCAACAACTTATCTGTTGATCAAAAGTCCAAATTTGCTACACAAAATAACTTAAAATTGGTATCAATTTGCACGTTCCAACTGTTTTCAAGCTGGACAGAAACAATTTGCATTGTCTACTTGCATGTTGGATGTTTCTTTGCCTATAAAAGGGGAACTTGGCCAAGAGTTTGAGAGCATCAATTCCTCTTCATCATATTCTAGTTTTCTTCATTTTCTTTGTAATATTTCATTATGTATTTTTAAACCATAGCTAGAGCTAGGGGTGAAACATTGATGAATGTTTAGTATTGTTTTTGATCTTTCACTTTGTTCATCTTCTTACTTGGTTAAATTATATGCTCTATAAATGATTTTGGTCTGTTAAAGATTTTGATTTATTGTTGACAATTTTGGGACAATAAATGCTTAGATAATCTCTACATACCAACAACTTATTTTGACATATTCTTTTAAACAATTATTAGCAATCAATGTTTTGTCTTTCATATGAGATCATTCCCTAGTTGATTTTCATATGAGTTAAATAAAAGATCAAGAGTAACTTCTACTAATTTATCCGGAGCGAATCTCTAACACTCTAGTGTTCTTCTTCATCGTATTTTCACCAACTATTCACTACTCATAGACTAGTTTATTTCCTTCCATTTTCCTGTAGTTCGACCTCGGACTTTTGAGTTTACCACTTGAGATAACCTGCACTTGGGTTTACAATCTTAAAGTTGTAGCAATACATCTTCTAATTTTCCACTGAGAAAAGCTGATTTTATACCCAATTGATGTATTTTTCGTCTCTTTTGAGCAGTCGAATCAATCAATAACCTGATTGTGTCATGTCTTGCAACCAAAGCAAAGGTTTCAAAGTAATGGAATTCTTGCTATGACTCTGCTTGCAATGCCTCAATAAGGATTTATGGGATGAACAACACGTAAAGATCAACTAAAAACGAGAGTGATATAATTCAATTATTTAAATGAAAATCTAATTGGTTAGGATAATTACTATTTGGATCTTAGCAAACGTGATACTTGCTAAGCCGTACAAGCTTTCTACTTGCAAGGTTTGACTTATTGGAATAGGGTGAATAAATATTTATTAAAAAAAAAAACCTTACAAAAAGGATAGATTTGGTTCTGGAATCGATATCAGCAGTTTCAATTCAAGAACCAATGATAGCTCGAGATCCAATCAATTCTCAATTCTAATTTCTAATTTATTTTTATTTTTATTTTTTTAAGAATTGAACTACTACTTCCTGCTCGGCTTCTAAAGGTTGGATTCCCTCTCTACATAAATATCTTTTTCAATTATTATGGACATACGATGAGGACAAGACCCTCCGGATGGTCCTGATTCAGCAGGAGTATTTTCATATGCTAGCACTGACACTGCATTTAGAGTGACTGAAGTCAATGCCTGCCCGAATGTGGGGGCTCCTGTGTGACCCGCTTAGGTCTATTGTTGGGTGACGAGGTGTGCTGTCAGTCCTCAACCTACCTGCCTCTGAGGTGGAGGGAGTCCATGTGCTTCACGATTTCGATGGTCGATCATCTCTTCGTTGACAATCTCCACTCTCATCATTTTTACCAGCTCGTCATATGTAGTGGGATTTTTGCTACGTACATCCTTCCAGAACAAAGTGTTCATGTTGAGGCTACCTTAAACTGAAAGGGCTCTCTGTCAGTGACTTGCTCGCAATATATGATTTCATCAGTGAATCTGGCGAGATAACTTTTCAGCGTTTCGCCAGGGGCTTGCCTCATATCTTGCAGGCATTGCACTAGGGCCTCTCCTTCCTTTCGTGAAAGGTATTGGTTCAGAAATGCCTTCTTCAAGTCTGGCCAGCTTCTGATGCTCAGGGATGATAACCCATTGTACCACACTTCAGCAGCTCCGGTGAGGGTTAGATGGAAGGCACTACATTTTAGTGCCGATGAGGCTCCTCTGAAACTCATATGTGTCATGTACTTAGTCAGGTGTTTCTATGGGTCCTCCTTTCTTTCATACTTTAGGATTTTAGGGGACATGAAATTTGCAGGCATCAGAAAGCTTTGGATTTCTCTGGAGAATTGGAGGTTATCATCATCGTCATCAATTTCGTAGGAGCGACATGGCCCTTCAGAGACTTCCCCCTCTGATGCGTTTTGGGGAGGTGGAGGTGCCTCTTCTCGACTACCCCAATCCACTAGGTTTCTTCTCTCCTGCTCTTACCGAACTGATCTCTGCACGAAGCGGACCCTATTCTGTCGAAGATACTGACAGACCTTTGCGGTTCATATTCTGGTGGGAAGTTTTCTCCTAGTGGTGTTTCCGGTGATTGGCTCCCCTGTGCGAAGGATGTAACATCCATACCCACTTTTCTTTCAAGGGGGTGTTCCTGGCGCTAGCTTGAATGGCCTTGGCCATGAGATGCAGGAATTTCTTGAGCTGGGTAAGATCCTTGAAGCATCTGGAAGCCCTGATGACCTCGGGCCTGCAAGAAGAATTCACGCATCGCCACGTTCTAAGCTGCAATGTCCCTCATTCCAGCAGCTATTTGAGTCATTCAGTGAGCATTGCTGTCCTGTTGCCTCGGTGACATCGGTGATGGGGTCTCCGATGCGTGAATTGGTCCTGATTAACTCTTCTTCAGAGGCATTCCTGTGCCCTTCAAAATTTGCATCTTTATTGCTATAACTCATCTTGTCTACCTTTTCGAGGGTGTTAAGAACTTTGGCTGTAGGTTGACTTTGTTCTTTTTCAAGAGCGTGCCCTTTTCAGGGTAAGTTGATGGCTTGCCTGCGGCTTTTTCGGCGAACAATGTGGAACTTTTGGACGAGAAGTTTCCCATAGACGACGTCAATCTATTGACCTCAAGAACTGGACCCTCCATGGGGTCAATGAATAGCTACTCCACGTAATCCTCCTGCGCACAACAATGCATAGTCAGAAGAACACGGCCGGAACCAGCGGTGGTGGCGGCGGTCGCATACATTTCGACGGTCAAGTCAGCGTTGGGTGATTGGAACAGTGCTCAAGTTGTGCAAGAGAGTGGGGAGGAGAATATATATTTCTTAGTATAGAGAGTTAAGTTGTGTGAGTTTCATTACCTTTTTCTCTTGTCAAACCTTGGGTATTTATAGATGTAGAGCACCGTTGGATATGGGATACGTGTATGCATCTGACGTTGTGAGGTATCCGCTCATAAGCGTCAATCAGCCGCGTCTAGAGTGGACGGGCAATTAGTTATTCTGAGTTGAGTTGACATAAAGTCAATATGTCACATCAACTAAACCTATGAAGACGTCACATCAATTGATCTTTAGAGCCATAGGGGATCATGACAGATATCTTTCTTACAGTGGCGGCGGAGGCAGGGGCGGACTTGGGGGGGTTGTAGGGGCAATTGACC